TCGGGGCAGACCTGATAAGAAAGTGTGGGGTAACTCTGGAACTCCCGGCCAATCTACTTTTTATACATTTAAAGAGGCAAAACACTGCCTTGATGATCGTTGTGTCTTATAGTTTGAGAATAAGCGGCTTCAATTTGGCGCTAGGAAGTAAAAAAATAAAAGTACAAACATGGAAAGGAAAAAAAAAGTAAAAGAACAAAAAAGGGAAATCATTGGGAGTTTATGCCTTGTCTTGGGGCCGATCTCTGAATGGAATGTTTGCTCGGCCAGCTCGGACCGAAATCTCGCGGAGCTCATGTGTGCGAATCAGTGATGGTCCGATCACAGGAAGTAGTGCGTCTAGTTCTACGCTTGACGAGAATCGTGCATATGCCTCCCAAGTCATGCGCACAAAGACTCCCGCAGGTGCATTGGTTTCATAGGCATCTGTGATTTTCACTTTGAACTTGGCCGGCAGGTTTTCAACAACTTTTTCAAAGTCTTGGACAACCAGCTTCGGGTTTCCTTCGAGAACGAGTAGAATAAGGACGTGAGTTTCGCGGCCGGAGGGAAGTTGTGATAGCGGGCGGGAATGTAATGCAGGGTTTAGGCTCGAACTTGAGGCATGACCAGAAGACGAAATTCCTGGCGAAGGAGGAGTTGAAGTAGACGTGACGTGGAAAGGTAAGACAATGGGATTCACCCCATTATGACTCGAAAATCTTGGCATGTAGTAGCCACGAGGAGTTTCATTCTGTACCGCATCGAAAATTTCATCTGTCGAGATAGATATCTTGCCAGAGTGAGAAAGCTTTCGCATGGTCCGCGCAACTCGCTGTGTAAAGGATATTCCATTTACACGGGTTCTCGCAAACGCCGAAGAGCCACAAGCAGCTAAGACATGGGTTGTCATCGGGTTACTCGCAATAGCAGTACCGGAATAACAACAATCTAGGATGCAGAAGGTATCCATAGGATAAGTGTGGTAACTCAATTCACGATCGATGGTGCGCCATGGAACAAATTTTTCCTTCTTGGTCGCGGTAAAAGAAAGTTCGTTAAGTTGATTGATCGTACCGTGGCCAGCGTAAAAAAAAATGAAGAGCGTTGGTTTGCAAATGCGGTGTTTGGACACAACTTCTTGATGCAGGCGATCTCCCAAATCCCAGCCTAGAACGGGATTTTCGTGGTTCATGACAAATGTTTGGCTGGCAACTCCGAAAAGATCAGCCATCATATGGGAAAAGGTTTCTCCATCTTCTTGAGCACGAGTGTTGTCGTCGTCCCAATAACAAACGAAGGCCGTAATTTGGGAGTATGTTTTCCCTCTGGCCTTAACCGCCCTTTCCAGTGCAAATTTTAAATCGGGAAGAGCAATCCTTTTGGAGCTGATCCATCTTGGAATTTTCGATGGAGATTTTGGGGATACGGGTGAAGTTGCAGAGTTGGGCGAGGTAGGAGGGTTAGACTGAGAAGATTCCATAGTCAAGTGACTCAACCGAGTGCCGAATAGAGGATGTGCAGAAATCGATTTGAGTACAAAGTGAAAAAAAGTAAGAAGTCCCCTTGCCTCAGATTGGCTCAAGGGTCTTGGGTATTGAGGGCTCACGAGTAACTGACGAAGAGAACTTGAGATGATAGAGAGGTGAATAACTAGAGAATTGAGAAATGAGTAAAGGTGAAAGACGAGTGAGAGTTGTTTGCTGAAGTTAAAGGCAGAGATGTTTGTGAAAAGGAAAGAAAAGAAAGAAGAAATTCAGACCTGGGGACTTGATAGAGGCAGGACAGAGTAGGACAAACCATGCCTATTCTAGCAATCCTTATTGTAACAACCATGGAACCTCATCCGATCCGGGCCCAGTGTCTCTCCCTTTCCTCCATAACTTCTCCATACAATCACACAATACAACACACATTGTAGCTTCATCTACTAACTCGTAGATCTTAATAGGTTATGAGCCCGGGGAGTTCGTTATTGGTCTGATCTCACGATCTATCAATATCCTCGGAAAATTCGCTTCTCGCCAAGTCTCGAGAATTTCCCCTTTGGGAAGTGCGAATAGTTTCAGATCACTTCTCGACGATCTGTCAAGGGGTAAACCATAATCAGACGATTTTGTGGTTGTTTGCTATTTTCTAATAATAGCTACCCCGCGGAGTTTGCTTCCACTCTGCACCTTTTCTTCTTCTCTCTGGATCTGCATGTGAGCAAGTCCTTGAGCTTATGTAATAATCAGGGGCGTGCTCAGTTTTACTCAGTGAGCAAACGGCGGCAAGGGGTGAGCACTAAAACGGAAAGGGAAAACCAACTTGCCCGGCCTAAAATCCGGTGTATATGTACATGTAAGCATGTCGGGATAGAACGGTGGAATTGTTCAATGAAAACCCGGCAAAATCAGGGCCAAGACGACCACGACGACCACGACGACCACGACGGCCACGACGGCCACGACGGCCACGACGCAACATTCTCAACCCTTTCCGAGACAAGCATTTCCCCCCACCGGAACAGTTTTGATCGAGTAAGAAGAATTGGACCGGAAGATGCCCAGACGAGAAGACAGTTTCCATCGAGTAATCTGATAAAGCGGGCCATTGATAAGCGGCAATTGCCCGGAGATTCCACATCGGAGGTGGCCGACGGCCTTTCCTCGCCTCGATCGATATGCTATACTCGTCTCAACATGCCAATATCCCAGAGATATAAAGGCACAGGGGCATGGCCTCTCAGGTGCTTCCTCGTATGGCAGAGGTGAAGGCCATTCTGCAGCTGCATGACTGTCTGAACCGGCTGGTTTTGCGAGTACATAATGGCAACGCCGGGGTCTGGAATAATGGCTCGGCAGTGGGCCTGTGGATATTCTCAGGATATTCCCTGGGTAATCCCCTTCTTCGCTGGGAGGGAGATCTTCTTTAACCCCAAGGTGGGCCCGGACTGTTTTTTCTTCGGAGGCAGTGGGCGTATTTATATCTCCCCCGGTCCCCTTATCTTAGGCCTGTTGCCCCTCTTATCTTCTGCTTATCTGAACGGCTTTCTTATATTTGAAGGTTATCTTTTGGTTATACTTCAGTCTTCAGTTCGACATATCTAGTTATGGCAACTAATCTCCCCTCCATTGCCGTGGTGGCTTCATCCCGCGCCGTTATCTCCGGCCGTTTGACTTCTGCCACTGTTGTGATCTCACTGACAACCGGTAAGATCACCGCCGTCTTCGATTCCGTGATCCCAGCGTCGGAGTTCCCTGTAAATACTCCCTATACCGACTACTCGCCTCATGTTTTGCTACCCGGCCTGGTTGATGCGCACGTTCACCTGAACGAGCCTGGCCGCACGGAATGGGAGGGCTTCTACACAGGCACTCAAGCCGCTGCCTTTGGCGGTGTGACTACTGTCATTGATATGCCTCTCAATGCCATCCCTCCCACCACCACCGTGAACGGCTTGAAAGAGAAGATCCAGGCTGCCCAGGGCAAGTGCTGGGTTGATGTCGGTTTCTATGGCGGTATCATCCCCGGCAATGCGGGCGAGCTCAAGGCTCTTGTCCAGGAGGGCGTCCGCGGCTTCAAGGGTTTCCTGATTGACAGTGGTGTAAGTGAATGATATCAGCATCGTGTGTTCTCCAATTAGTATTAACATTCTTCAATAGGTTGATGAGTTCCCCGCTGTCGGGAGAGAGGATATTAAGAAAGTCATGGCCGAGTTGGCCGATGAGCCAACAACTCTCATGTTCCATGCCGAGATGGTGCCTCCCATTACCGCATCTGTGGGCGACGAGGTTCAAACATCCGATGCACCTGCCGACCCTGTCGGCCCCCTTGAGGCATATGCGACTTTCCTGGCCTCGAGACCCTCTTCATTCGAGACCTGTGCTATCGAAAGTATTCTGTCTTTGGCTCATCTTGCTCCCAACCTCCCTCTGCACATCGTCCACCTCTCTGCAATGGAAGCTATCCCCTTGTTGCGGGAAGCCCGCGCCAATGGCGTCAAGATCACAGCCGAGACCTGCTTCCACTATCTGTCCCTGGCAGCCGAGGAAGTACGCGACGGTGACACCCGCCACAAGTGCTGCCCGCCTATCCGGTCAAAGCTGAACCAAGATAGTCTGTGGGAAGAGCTGGAGAAGCACACTGGTGACGGCGTCATCAAGACCGTTGTCTCCGATCACTCCCCTTGCACACCAGATCTGAAGATGCTTCCAGCCCATGTCCCTGGCCACTGTACCGGCGGCAAGGAAGAGGAGAGTGGTAACTTCTTCTCTGCCTGGGGCGGCATTTCTTCCGTCGGGCTGGGCCTGCCCATCCTCTGGACAGACCTCAGCCGCCGGAAGGGCCTGACCTCCTCGCCAGAAGACGAGAACACCAAGAACGCCCTCCAGGACGTCGTCCGTCTCTGCTGTGCCAACACTGCTGCCCAGGTTGGCTTGCAGTCGCACAAAGGCGACTTGGTTGTCGGCTTTGATGCTGATATTTGTGTTTTTGATGACTCTGCCGAATGGACCGTCGAGCCGAGCACCATGCTCTTCCGCAACAAGTGCTCCCCCTACCAGGGCCGTACTCTGCGCGGCATGGTCCGCGAGACCTGGCTGCGTGGTGAGCGTATCTTCAGCCGTGACCAGGGATTCCATAGCCAATCGCCGCATGGCAAGCTGCTTCTTGAGAAACGGGTCTGAGATATTCCCTGCTTTCTTACTCTTCTTCTTACTCTTCTTCTTACTCTTCTTCTTACTCTTCTTCTTTCTTTGTCCACGCTTATCTCGGCATTGCGCCTTGCTATCTCTTCTATATCTCTGCCACTTTACATCTCGATCTCAACCTGTGGGATCGAACCCTCTGATGAACCCTCTGATGAGCACTAATGATCGCACAACATTCATACCCTTTAGATTAATGACATCGCATTCTAGCTTTTAGAATAGAATACTAAAAGCAATCAATTGAATCCTTCCAAGTCTTTTAAAACAAGCTAGCACCGAGAAATACATCAATGCAGTCATTATTGTTGAATACTATACAGATACATATCAAAGACTCCCAACATCCTTCTTCCCATCCCTCCCCTTCTCCCACTTCTCCCTAACCCTCCTCCTAACACCCCCATTAACCCCCTTCCCCCAAATTTCCTCCTTCTCCGTCCCAACCTCAACAGCCTCATCCGCACTATCCTCCTCCCCAACCGGCCCAATAACAACCTTCCTCTCCTTAACCGCCCTCTCTTTAACCCTCGCCCGATCCACCTTTTCAAGATATGTCCAGTACAAAAACGCCTCTGCAACGGCAACACTCAGCGCCGAAAACAAACCAAGAAGAACCTTAACCGCCTCGCTCGCCACTATCTCCGGCGTCGGGAACTTCGTGAGCGCCGCGTACACGCCGAACCCGGTCACCACCACCGAGATGAAGACGCTAGAAACCAGCGAGACCGTCAGTGTATCTTCTTCTACTCGGCCGTCGTTCGTGTAGGGCGATGCGTGCGGATCCGCGTGGTCAGCGTTTGGTCGGTAGTTTGGGTTTAAGAGTCGGTTGTAGGATTCTTGTTCTGTGGCTGCGATGAGGCGTGCTTTTGATGCGAGATATTCGGCGCTCTGTATTGTGTAGAATGTTAGGATCTGGTTCGGTGTGGTTTGTGTATTGGAGGAAAGGGAGGGATCGGATGAAGTTGTGTATAGACCACGTACAGGCTCTGGCTTCTTTGGCGGCGGAGGGACGTAGACTTTCGTGCCGCGGAGGAGGGAACTGAGGACGGTTGGGGTGTGAGAGGCCTGCTCTTTGCATTCTGGGTCGTTTTGCAGGTATCTGGCGAGCCGGATCAGTTGCTCGTGGGCTATTGGGCCTTGTGCTTCCAGCGTGGTAGGCAGGTCTAGCTCCTCGTGGCGCGAAGCTGGAATAGCTTCGAACGCGGCGAGGATGCGATCTGTCGTAAGAAGGAGGACCATTATGATACAATCCAACGGAATTAGGGCAATTCAGCAGAATTGAGGTTTAGTTCAGTTCATGGGGAGATAAAGCGGAACCCCAAAAAAGTGGCAGTTAAGCTCCCCACATCGTCATATCTTCCTCTCTCCTCTCTCACACACATTTTTGCGACTATGGCGGACTCAAAGAAGAGGTAAATTCATATTCCTATTCTATATCTTTACATCCCCTTCTATCTGCCAACCTCCAATCTCAATCCCATGCCCGCATCCACAGAATCCAGAAAACTAACCCCTCCAACAGCACGGTAACAACACAAACCAACCCGCGCGGGATCCCCGTCGCCCCATTCATCGACAATGTCAGCGACTATGTCTCCTCCCGCGAGGAAGTCGAGCCCACTCTCCGCTCCTTCCAGGAGATGATCTCCAAGTACCAGTTCATGGAGGTGAACACGCAGCGCCGCGGCCAGGGCTTGCGCGAGAAGATCCCCGATATCAAAAAGACGCTGGAGATGGTGCGGTTCTTGCAGCTGCGCAAGGAGGTAAATATCCCCCGCGCGCATCCTCTATTCATCATATGCACTCCGGAGAAAAGGCGACTTGTGGAACATCCAGCTTTGGGAAATTGAATCGGAAATTGGAAATCGGGAATATCAAGTTCACTAACACTCACTTTTCTAGTCCAACCCTGGCTCCGACCTCGAAACTAGCTTCGAACTCAATGATACCCTCTACGCCCGGGCTGCGATCTCACCTGCTGATGCTGAGGAGGTTTACCTCTGGCTTGGTGCGAATGTCATGTTGGCCTACCCTCTCGACGAGGCGGAGACCATGCTGGATGACAAGCTTGGTTCTGCGGAGTTGAGCTTGCAGAATTGCGAGGAGGATCTGGAATTCTTGCGCGAGCAGATTACGGTTAGTTTATTCGGTTTGCGGGCATATGTGTGGGAGGTTGGTATATTGGCGCTTTTGCTAACATTTGACTTTTTGCAGACATTGGAGGTTGCCACGGCGCGTGTGTACAACTGGGATGTTGTAGAAAGGCGTAAGCAGAGGGCTGATGGCAAGGGTGGTGAAGAGGAAACGAAAAAATAAGAAGCGCCCTGGTGGCTGAATATGTCTTGAAGGGATTTATGGGATATTATAAAAATGTTGCCAATGTCATCGATTATGAAGGGTCTATTATCTTCCAGGTTAAAATGTCAAGAAAAAGAATCAAGAGAATCATAATGCAGCATGGAGAAATATTGAAAAGAAGTAGTGAATATTAAGTATACGCTCTAAACCAAATGCCCTATGCATATAAACCGAAAAAAAGAGACGCATGTCATGATTCGTGAACAACCTTGAGAGGTAATAGAAAATCGCCACAAACAAAAAAAAAGAAAGAACAGACCATTGAAGTGTCCTCCATAACTTCGTTGAGTTTTGAGGACGCCACCTTCACTATGAACCTTCCAGTCCACGCGCCTGTACGGCATATTATTGTTGGCGACAGGGGATCCGAAGATGGTAGAGAATCTCGACGGTGCGTTGCTGTGTCTCAAACAAACGAAATGCTAATCATTCAACTTTGGAAAACAGAATCATTGGAACATGTTGGAACCTAGTCTGTCGGCATCAGAAGCAGCTCGCTCACGCATCCGCTTCGAGATGTCAAAGCCAGTTTCATCACCGACAAAGGTCCACTCCTCAATGTCATCAAGGTCATCATCGGCTCCATCCGGGGAGGTCTTAGCTGTAGGTGTAGGAGAGAATGGGGTGGACGAAGCAAGCGACTTTTGTCGGGCCAAGGTCTTCGCGTATTCAAGATCACGATAAAGGGCCTGGATTGCAGTAGCCACACCGTCTTCCTAAACAAGGGAATATCAAATTAGCACTCCATCCACTAAGCTTGGGTAGACTTAGAACAACTCACATTCCGAATCTGAACACCCAGATTTGTTGCCCTCAAAATCATACGTTCACTGTGCGTCGCCTCCCACAGAGCCCGCGAGAAGACACTGACGTTCAGTTTCTTCAAGCAGATGCCAACACCTAGATCCTCCACCCGGGAGCCGAAGAAGAACTGGTCTCCGAAGAATGGCTTGATGATGGTGGGGACGCCAGCTCGAAGACTTGCGCCAGTGGTTCCTGCTCCACCATGGTGGGCTGCAGCATCGATTTGAGAGAAAAGCCAGTCGTGAGGTGCAGATTGGATCTGATGGATTTCTGGTGGCAGAGGTATCTCGGTCTTCGTGCTAGCTGGATCGCCAAGCCTATCGGACCATCCCTTCGAGAGGATGCATCGGACATCTGCTTTCTGGACTGATTCGATGACGGTCCGTGTCAGAGCAGAAGGATCCGAGACCACAATGGATCCGAACCCGATGTACACGAGCTTCTTGCCATCCGCTCTGGCCTGTGCAATGAAATTCGATAGTTCAGTAGGAGGAGTCCAATCTGTGCCCTCATTCAAAAACCAGTAGCCGGTAATGCGAATCCAATCTGGGTAATCAAGAGGCGGGACCACCACGGAGGGCGAGTAGTTATAGAGGAACGGAACTTTGTTCTGCTGCATCTTGTCTAGGGTTGTGGCCTTCAATCCCAACTCGTTGTTTCGCCAGCGGTTCACTTGCCCCGCGATGGCCTTCCAGAAGATGTTGTCGAACATGACGTACGTGATGTAGTTGTATGCTCCACCCATGCGATTCTCTGGCACTGCGAAAGCATGAGGGTAGGCCCGTGTTCTTGTCCATGGCATGGTGAATCCGCGGAAGTACGGAATCCTTAAAGCCTCTGCAATGTGAATTCCGGCCATGGCGCTCGGTGACTCGATTAGAAGGTCACTGCCCTGACAACCAATCCAAGCCGACGACAAGAGGTCATCGATCCATCCTCTGAACTTCATTGAAGCTTCCCTAAGGAAGGAATATGTAAACATCCCGTTCTCCACGCAAATTCGCATTAGCTCTGCAGGATCACCGTCAACGGGAGCAAAGTCAATCCCGTGTTTTCTGATCCAGGGCTCGAACTCGGCGTGGGTTGCAATCTTCGGTTTATGGCCCTCCGCAAGCAGTCCTTTGCAGAGCGCGATGTACGGTTGTACATCGCCCCGGGAGCCGATGGTTAGGCAAGTAATCCTTAGAGGCTCGGAAGGTTTGAAGTTGATAATGGAAGCGCGAGGATCGTCGAAGAACGGATGTATTTCCGATGAATCCTCGGTGAAAGTCGGACGTGCATCATCTTCCTCGGGGCTGTCCAGCCTTGCTTCCTGAAGCATGCGGTGCTCAGCCTTAGCTGCTTCAACTTCGTCTCGTTCTTCTTCTTCTAGCAAGCCAGATTCCACCAGGAATTTCACGGACTCTAGATTTTGATGCAGTGTGACTGCACAGTCGTCTCGTGAATCAGAGGCATTGAACTCAAAGAAAAGCTCTTCATGGCCACGGATGATGACAACAAGTCCATGGTACCCAAAGCGGAAGCCCTTCTCTTTTTCAACGTTCTCAATGTCTTTGAACGGTAAGATCATCTTGGTCCGAGTGCCAGGAATCAGGCTGCGGAAGCAAAGTTTCTTCTGACTTATATAGATCTTGCCGTATAGCGGGAGCACACGATGCAAATAGGCGTAATATGTCGCCTGCAGTTTTTCGGTAGATGGAAGAGCGAAGTGTGCACGAAAGCGATCTCCATAATTGAATGAACCTTCGTTGTCCTCGGGATCAACGTTCTGATCTTCAAGCAATGGCCCTTCCCGTTCTCCATAATGCTTCTGGCCACCAATCCACATGCCAGAGACCTTTTCTATATAGCCCATTGACTCTGTTGCTAAGAGTGTACTCATTTGTTTCGAGCGGCTCTTCAAGTATTCTGCAAAACCAGCGGCGCGTTGAAGGGGGTATGCACCCACTTTGACAAGATCGTTTAAATGAGTAACGGAGCTCGGCCCTGAAGATTGCATTGTATTAGATTCGCCAGCGATATATCGCGTGTCTTCGGTGGTTTCATTGCGACCTAGTGTTCCAGATGGAGAGCCTGTCGCTGCACCTAGGTCCAGCCGTGTAGACGCGGAGGGGGTCGTATCATCAGAATTCCGTTGAATATTTTCTCCGACACCCAATGAGCATCCTTGCAGTGTGCGCATAGTGGGTGATTGGAAGACGTCGCTTCTGTGTAGTATCTGACTGGCAGATTCAGTGGTATCTGTCATGGATTGTACAATCGGCGATGATTCGGTCCCTTGCTCTGCAAATGAATCTGCCGAGCCTTGATTTTCATTTCCTACGCTGGAGCTTCGCTTGCGCGGTGAAACTTCCTGCCTCTGATCAGACAAACGAACGCTACTGACTGACTGTCTCTTTTGATGTTTGATATCGTGTTGGCTCTGCGGCTCTTTCGTTGCAGAGGTAGCCGACGCAGCATTGACCAGGCGCTTGATGTAGTTGAATGCGTCTTGGCCCGAATCAAAAAATGAGAAAAAGTACTGTGAACTGATCAGCAATGAACTTAGTAACGGTTCATCCAACGACCTACCTCGTCAATTGCGTATGTTTCGCCGCTGTCGAGAACTCGAATCTTGAATGTCTCTGCGAAATCGGCCATTGGGCTCTCCTCCAGGTCAATAATATTCGCTATTGGGAATGATACTTTGACACTGTCGCCTTCATTATGCGTCCGGAAGATGACTTTCTGGAGAGCTTTCACCCATTCCTTTGCACTGGTAGCACTGTCTGCTCTGAATAAATATGTCCGCTGATCAGTGGTGACCTGAAAGTCCTTCACATCACCGTCTTTGCGATCTGCGAGAGACGCAGAGATCCCATATCGAAGATCGACATGTCCGCTAGGAAAATAGAGATTGGAGGGATCTGCGTAGTATGAGAGGACATCACCCTTCAGCGCGAACCAATAGCGATGATACGTAGGGTTCTTGCGGCCACGTTTGGATAGGTATCCCGACTTTATCGCCACGTTGGACTTCTTTGGGAGGTAGGCGTAAAAGCAGATGTGACCTTCCGTCACATACATGTAGCCTTGAA